GCAAGGTCAGTCAAGCATGGAGCAGCAAAATCAGTCAACCTGACAGGGAAAATGTCCTCTTGTATCTTTAAGATCTACAAATACCTATAAAAATAATGTTTTTTTTAAGAAAACAAAACTTACCATATGAGTTCAATGTTTTCTCTATTTTAAAGTCTGCAGGTTGCCACAATGAAAACCATACGAGTTGTTCTTAATGTGCCCTTATGTGGTAAGGAATATATCTCTTGAATCTCTGGATGGTTTTATCTGAAACTCTCAGAAAGTAATCATTTAACCGATTAACTGTTGGAGTCAAGATTGCCACTGCAGRTAATTGATCTTAGCAAACACAAAAATGGCCAAAACTCGGTCAGTTTTACAGATATCAACCTAGAACTTGGTGTGGTAGTAGCTTAGTGTCATCCCCAACCCATACTCCAAACACCAAGAGATATTTGTTTAAAACTTTTAACTTTTATACTCACTTTCCACTTGGGTTAGTTTTAGAACCAGATCTTTTCTATCTTAATGCGTTGCTTTACTTCGTCCTGAACCAGCCGAGAACAGATTGTTAACACAAACCATCCCATAGTAGCTAAAATATTTCCTTTTAAGTTGAGGCTGTTGATTTTTCATAAAATCCAGACCAACATTACCATCCATGAAGCTGCTCCTCTGATATAAAAATGTCTTTAATTTATTGGTTAAAGCTGTAAACAGGATTTTCTCCCCTACCTTTTGTCAGTTTGTAAAAATTCAAAGCATTCCTTCCTGAAAGCAGAAACTTCTGCCAATTCTGTTATGTCCTCCAGCTGTTCAGAGCAAGAACCTGAGATTGCCCCAAATCATGTATTCTCCCACTTATTCATTTATACTGTATATGAAGCTGGAAGAGTACCAGCTACATGTTGTGTTCTGATCATGTAAACCGAAGCAAAATGAAGCACAATTACACACATTTTAAAGCTTAATTSTGCAAAAGTGTCGATGAAAAGTTTAGCTTGTTGATCGCGAGCCTCAGCTTCAGCATACCAACATCCCAACCACAAAAATATGGAAAAGTCTTCAATGTTGCTGTTAAAGCAAAGACCATTTAAACACCAGAGAGAGAAATTTCCACTTGTCCACGCCACATTCCAGCTCTTTCAATGAAGAGTCAAACTCTCTCTCTCTCTCTCTCTCTCTCTCTCTCTCTCNCTCTCTCTCTCTCTCTCTCTCTCTCTCTCTCTCTCTCTACCAAACTCAGCCACCCTTTTTCAAATACTTTCTTTAAAATCCAGGAGGCAGGCAACTGCACGGTGGTTTCATTATCTGGATCAAATGAAAATGGTGTAAGGTGTTATGGGAATCTGATACTGTATGTCTCTCGTGAGTTTTTGAACACTGCGTGACATGAGCGTGGAAATACGAAGGAAAAGTGAGTCGACTGTTACTCCGGGCATCATCAGAGAGGAAGAAAACTGTCACAGGGTTACAAGCAGGACTCTTGACTACCTCCTACCTATCCTTTTCTCCCATTGAGGATCCCATTCTTTACTCAAGAGTAAAAAAAAGGTTTAGTAAAATTGGTTWTTTTTTTTAACAAGAAGGTGTTGTAGACTGCAAGGCTCCACATCTCACCACAGCTGATCTGATACAGCTCAAAAAGAAAAGGCTTCACTTGCCAGACACTAAAGTCAGGTGGGGAGAACGGATAGGTCTTAAGAGGACATGTAATGAGCCATACCTCACTAATTAAAGTGCAACATGGGAATATTTTCCAGCAATAAAGTGAAGGGTAAAAACCCCACCTCACCTCTTCAAAGCCACCTATTTATTTACAGAGCAGAGTTTCAGCCCGGCTGACAGGAGCCCTACTGAGCTCACTGATTATCAGCAGCATCAAATGATGTGRGATAGCAAGAGGAAAAAATGAACTATTTAGGAAATCAAGTTCTGAACAGAGCTTTTATGGCTAAAAAAGGTAAAACTATATCAATTAGTTTCAATTTATAAGGTTGAACCTATTAATTTAAGGGACTACTTAAAGGATTTAATTTACGCATCTCTTATTCATGGATAACTAACGACTCAATCTATGTATATTACGCAAACACACAAGTCTGTGAATGGAAGGGTTAAGATGACGTGTGACTTCCAGATCCAGACAAACAAACAAACAGGTAATGGCTAACCAGCCGGGCACTTTGGTGGTCGACAAACTACAGAAGAAGGCAACTGTAACATCAAGAAGAAGGAGAAGCTTGAGAAATACCCAGGGCTGAAAGAGGAAATACAGAGTGGAGAGTCTCAGTGGTCATTGGAGCACTTGGTGCTGTGACCCCAAAACTAGAAGAGTGGCTCCAACAGGTCCCAGGAACAACCTGAATCCTAGGAACAGCTAAAATAATAAAGAACCATCAGGCACCCAGGCCTCTGGTAGAGGACCTGAGTTTAAAGTGAAATGGAAACACCCAAGTGGAGGAATAGGGCAAGATGGGTGTTAAATACAAAGATAAATTAAAGTCTAACTGGGGTCATTTTACGAYGCATGTTTTTAAAAAAGACCAAATGTGTAGTTATGAATACCTTCCCTTTTTATGTAGTTAGTATTGTTTTTTTTTTTTCTCTTAATGCCTTATCTTAATAAGAATTACATTTTTCTTTGTCTTTTATCAAATAAACTCAGACAGGCAAACTGCATTTGCTCTTATACAAACAAACAAACAAAAAAACTGACAAACAAAAGATAATCTAGTTTCTAATACAATATTTAAGATTGAGAGTGTTTTCCAACTGTACATATGTAAATAAATTTAAAACAAATGTTAAAATCTAGTGTCCGTTCAATAAAGGCCACCTGTCTAAAACCAATGAGATGCAGATTCTCAGGAGGTTCCAGTAAAATTTGTCTGGCCCAGTTCAGGCCCAGAGGCACGAACACTCAGATGCAGCAAAATCAACAGCCCTTTTTTTTTGGCCCAGATGTGGTTTGCCAGAGGTGTGGGCCAAACCAATCCACAACTGGGCCAGTGGCGGCATGCCATCTTAAAAACAGTGTTATCACTGCTAGACTTGGTCCAGTTGATAAACCACATGCCATGCCAACAGTGTCAGATTTAAACCAGACCTATGTGGGTTATATATTTTAGAAACAGCAATTTAGGAGAGAACAGGTTTTTAAGTTCATTAGCGACAGTGCTTTTTCAAAAAGTATTATGAACAAAGGGAGAAAAAATGACAACATAACAAATCTCCAAAAATTCTGCTTTGGTTTTGGTCCCAGCCAAGAATTTTCAGATATTAAAATATTTCTTGAAGCTCCACTGCCGTTCCCATTTGAGGCTTGCTTTGTAAGAATTTCTGACTAAGAGTGCTATCAGGAAATGGCAACAGCTTAAATATTTATGTTTAATCTTGTTTGTTTTTAAACCGTTTATAGATCAAATGTAGACTTTGTTTTCATATAAGCAGAGCCGGCTCTTGGCATAGGCGAACTAGGCGGTCACCTGGAGCGCCATCTGCTAGAGGGGCGCCGACCTGCAGAAGAAAATTAAGTAATTATTTGTAATGCCTGGTTGTAACTCTGCTCGGTGCCCCTTTCAATTAGCTTTGTCTTAAAAAACTATAATGAAGTATTACAGGAAAAAATAAACTACCCGTAAAACATTTTCTCCCCCCAATGCAGCAATCGTCCCCAACCTCTSTCTCATTTCATTGACATTGCACTGACTCGTCCTGCTCCGACACTCTGACAGGGGAGGGGCTAGTAGTGCCTCTCAGGTATCGGTTCATGTTCACAAACTCAATAACAATAAGTCTGTATTTTGTTGTCTCATACATGTCAACCTCTTCGGATGTTTACCTGGATAAAAAGCCTCAAAAATCCATAAATTTTGCAAAAAATAATTTCCATACAACTCGCACCCAGGGGGCGGGGTTGTCAGCCTCGCTGGGGACATGAAAGCGCTCGCTGCGAAGCAGGAGGAAAGGAGAACAGAAAAAGTTCAAAACTTATTTCTAGCGGCAGAACAGGTTGGAAGATGGCTATTTAATGTTTTTATTGTTTTTTTTGTAAATCATCCTACAGGCTCTGACAAGTTAGATAAATTTGAAAATGAGGTTTTGAAAAAATCCGTAAGACTTGAAAAAATCCACGACATTGCTCTATACGAGTGTTTCCCAAAGTTGGGGTCGGGACCCAAAGTGGGGTCCCGAAACATCAAGGTGGGGTCCTGAAAAGATTTTCTGAATTAATTACATTTTTGCCTTAGTTGTTACAAAGGAGTGAGGTTAGTATATTTAAAATGGATAAATTTACAAAATATATTGTTACTATGCCCATGTTTTGTTGACCTGATGCAAATGTTTATCATCTAAAAACAGTTGGGGGCACAGGTCTCTGC